AAAAAAAAAAGAAAAAAGAAAAAAAAAAAGTCAATAAGGAGCATACGAATACCCAGCGGGCGGTGGCATCCCCAACCCGTTCACTGGTGGCATCCCATAAGGCATCATCACAGGCTGCACGCCAGGCGGATAATAGCCTCCAGCCCCAATCTTGGCCAAACTCGATTGCCCCTGCATACCCTCTCTTGAGTACTGTTGCCACACCATCTGCTCCTGCACCACAAGATGCTGCTTTTTCTCCATGTCCGCCATCTGTACGTACGCTGGCGGGGGCACACTCAGGGACGCGGCAAACGGGTCCTGCCCGACCGCCTGGACTGTCCCATCAGGTGCAGGAAGCGCAAGCACTGGCGTTTTACCTGCCGCAGGCCCCGGTAAAGCCACGCTGCTGGCACTGCCAGAGCTCAGTTGTGCTGTGCTCACGTGCTGCCGAACCATTCCCTGGTCGTACATTCCGTTCAGCAGTAACGGGTCCATTCCTCCTCCCATTTCGGCTTTCTGTTTAGACAAGTGACTGGCGGACTCAACCAGAGCCAGCTCCCAATCGGCTTTCCCACTCTCGGCCGCTGGGTTCTGCCAAGCCGAAGTCACCCCCTTATCGTCGTCCGACGGAAAAGCTTCCCACGACCCGTTTGTGTTGTTTGCAGTGGGCCCGGCAAACAATGCTAAAGCAAACTTGTTACCTTGGTCATCTGCGGTCACTCCCTCATCCCTCAAATCAACCAAATAGCCAGGATCTTGAACGGCCTTCTTGGCTGGCTCGGGCTCAGGGGCCGGAGGTGGAGCAATATTCTCTGGAGGCGGCAGTGCTTTAATTTCATTCATGTCCTGAACTGGCTCGTCGTCTTGAGGTGCTGGCAGGCTTTCGATGGGTTTCCTCTCTGGACTCTTGATTGCCTTTGACCTATCCCTCACAAACTCCTCTAGAGTTTCCAGTAACTTGCTAGTGATCTTCTGGACCTCTGGGTACTCGGTGGACCTCGCAATACCAATATCTTTGCACCAATTATAGAACCCGACCAGCTCATCTATTTGCTTTGAGGCGCTGACATAAGCATCAAAGGCCTTGATGCAATCCTGAACCTCCATGTCGAAGAATCTGTCAAGAAGCACAGCCAGAATCTCGCACACGTCTGCATACAACTTGAAGCTCTCCTTCACAATAGTGTACAGGGCCACCAGAATCAT